GTTATTTCTTATGCTTCACAAATAAGTGAAACCATATGATAATTGACCCCCTCTGCTTGACTTATTTCACTTAGCATAATCTCTTCCAGTCCCATCCATGTTGATACAAAAGTTGGGTATTCATCCTTTCTGATGGAGGCATAATATTCCATTGTATATATGGACCATATCTTCTTTATTCTTTCATCCACTGAAGGGCACTGTGGCTCTTTCCATAGTTTGGCAACTGTGGCCATTGCTGCTATGAACATTGGGGTACAGATGGCCCTTCTTTTCACTACGTCTGTATCTTTGGGCTAAATACCCAATAGTGCAATTGCAGGGTCATAGGGAAGCTCTATTTTTAATTTCTTAAGGAATCTCCACACTGTTTTCCAAAGCGACTGCACCAACTTGCATTCCCACCAACAGTGTAAGAGGATTTTACCATTTTTAAGTGTGTAGTTCAGTGGCACTAAGTGCATTCACACTGTGTAGTCATTACCAATGATCTTCAGAACTTTTTCATCTTGCAAAATTGAAACTCTACCCATTAAGAAATAATTCTCCATTCCCATTTCCCCAGCTCCTGGCAACCATCATTCTACTTACTGTCTCTATGAATTTGACCATATGCAATGTATAAAATCATACACTGTTTCTCCTTTTGTGATTGGCTTACTCCACCTAGCATAATGTCTTCCATATTCATCCATGTTATATGGTATAACATACTGTTATCAGATTTTCTTTCCTTTTAAGGCTGAATAATATTCCATCACATACATATGCCATACTTTTTCAGTTCATTCATCACTGTTGGACACTTGAATGACTTCTATCTTTTGGCTGTTGTGAATGATGTTGCTATAAACAAAGATGTTTTCATGTCCCTGCTTTCATTCTTTTGGGCATATATCTGGAATGGGAATTGCTGAATCATTTGGTAATGCTTTATTTAATATTTTGAGGAATAACCATACTATTTTCCATAGTAGTTGTACCATTTCACATTCTTACAATTAGTAGGAATCCCAATTTCTTCATATTCTCACCAATGTTTATTTTCTTTCCTTTTTTCCTTTTTTGTCTTCATAATAGCCATCCTGGATATGAAGTGATATCTCATTGTTGTTTTGATTTTCATTTCCTTAATGAATAGTGATGTTTACCATATTTTCATGGGCCTATTGGCTATCTGTATCTCTCCTTTGGAGAAATGCCTGCTAAAGTCCTTTTTCCACTGTTTTATAAAGTTTTTTGTTTTCATTGTTGAGTCTTTAAGAGCTCTCTAAATATTCTGGTTGTTAACTGCTATTCAGATATATGATTTGCAAATTTTTTTCTCCCATTCTGTGGATTTCCCTTTTACTTTACTAACCTTGCCTCTTGATGAATAATTTTAAAATTGTGATAAAATCTGTCTTTGTTTATTTGGCTGCACCTTTGGTGTTGTACCCAACAAATTATTGTCAAATAAAATGCCTTAGATTTTTCCCAACATTTTTACCTAAGACTTTTATAGTTTAGCACTTAGTTTTAGATCTTTCATCTACTTTGAACTATAAGGTAAGGTATAAGATAGGGATCTCATTTCACTCTTTAGTATGTGGATATCCAGTTTCTCCAGTACCATATGTTTTAAATTCTCCTTTTCCCATTGAATGGTCTTGGTATCCTTGTCAAAAGTCATTTGACCATATATGTGGTGCTTTATTTCTTTGTTCTCTATCCTCTATCCTTATTTTGTATGTCTGTCTTTAGGCCAGTACCACACTGTTTTGCTTACTGTTGCTTTGTAGTAAGTTTCAAAATAATGAAGTGTGAGTCCTCCAGCTTTGTTATTTTTCAAGATTATTTTGATTATTCAGGATCCTTTAAGATTCCATATGAATTTTAGCATAGAATTTTTTTATTCTTTAAAAAACATTGCTGGGATTTTGATAGGTATCACACTGAATCTGTAGAACACTTTGTATAGTATTGATATAACAATATAGAGTGTTTCGATCTATGAAAAGTCTAGTGCTGGCTATGATGCTGGGATATGAGTCTTTCATGAATTTACTAGCAGAATTAACTATGATCATTTGAAAACTAATTTGGATTTATATATTAAATAAAAAACATAGATACCTTTAATACAATACATGTTTACATGCTCTATTTTATAGAAATATAATCACCATGGTATATGTGTGTATATATATATATACACACAGTGAAATTTATTGTACCATTGCCGATAGCAGCAAAAAGTACATTGATAAAAATCTAAATGTAATTCAGTAGAAGAATGGTTGAATAAAATATAGCACATTCACATTATAGAATACCATAAAGCAACTTAAAGGTATGATATAAAAAAGAAATCTATATTACCAATTTATCTATATTGGAGGTAAGTAGGATCCATCCAAATGATCCTATTATGTATAGAACCAGCAAACTTAACATATATATTTGTGTGTGTGTGTGTGTGTGTGTGTGTGTAACACATGTTTAAAGAAAGGTTTAGAAAAATATACTTGACTCATTGACTCATGGTTGTCTGGGAAAGGGAGTCCATAGGTTTAAGGTGATTGGCAAATAGAAACAATGGAAACACAGTATAAAGTTTTATTTCATTTGTCTTTATATAGCAGTGATTTTTTTTTTACCTTCATAGATAGGTTTTCTAGTTGTAGAGATTATAGCAGGCAGAGTATTCGTAAATCCAACATGTTTTTTTGAGACAGAATTTTTTGAATGCCCTAAAAAATGAAAATAACATTATTATCTTAGAAATATCTTGATTTCAACTTTTAAAAATTTATAATAAATCTTAACCCACTTCTAAAGCACAGTTTCCTTAAATTTTAAAAAATAATTTAGAACACTTTTACTAACACACTTATTTTCTCTCTTGTTTTTCCTTGTTGGTCATTTGATATTTATAAACAAAACCAGTAAGAGTGCAAATCCAGAAAAAGAAATAATAGAAATAGTGTATGTAAAAATACCTGAGGAAGAGTTTTTTTTCTTTTAAGTATTACAATAAAAAACTACTTTAACAATTAAATTGATAAATTCTCATATAAAATTTTTATATAAAACAGAATATCTTTATTTAAAAAATTTTTATATAACCACAGTGAAAAAACTAGTGCTCGTGGTTTCTAAACAGACATGTTTAGAAATACTATCATCATGATACATATTTTGAACACTGTTAAAAACAAAATAATGGGGGCGCCTGGGTGGCTTGGTGGGTTAAAGCCTCTGCCTTCGGCTCAGGTCATGATCCCAGGGTCCTGGAATCGAGCCCCGCAGCGGGCTCTCTGCTTAGCCGGAAGCCTGCTTCCTCCTCTCTCTCTCTCTGCCTGCCTCACTGTCTACTGGTGATCTCTGTCTGTCAAATAAATAAACAAAATCTTTAAAAAAAAATAATGTAATAAAGAAAATAGTTTCAGTATGTTCAAGAAAAATATGCTAAAATAAAAAGCAGAATGTGGGACATTTAGATGGTGTTTTCTCAAAGTTACTGGGGAAAATTTACTAAATTAATGTGTTGAATTTCTACAATATATGTCTTACAGAGAAATAAAACATTTTCAATTCTTCCATTCCTTAAGGCAAGTGTTTGCTTAAGAAATGTTTATGTCATTATTTTTAGATTAAAAGGCTTGATTATTTGATGAAAAATAAAAACATTATGACAGAATCATTTCTATTCCATCCACAAAAAAAGATTACTATTACTATTCTCTTATGAATAGAAATTTAGATAGTAGATTATTCAGACTATTTCTTAGTTCTTATTCTCTTCCTCTTTTTTGTTTCTTTAGGCAACATTACTGCTTATAATTAACACCCCCCATCAAAGAGAAAGCTGTAGCTTAGGAAAAAAAAAACAAATTGGGGCACTTGGGTGGCTCATCGATTAAGCATCTGCCTTCAGCTTTGGTCATGATCCCAGGGTCCTGGGATCAAGCTCCATGTTGAGCTCCCTGCCCAGAGGGGGAATCTGCTTTTCCTTCTCTCCCTGATTCTGCTCCTGTTTTCTCTTTCTCTCAGTCTCTAATGCACGTGCTCTCTCTCTCCAATAAATAAATAAAAATCTTGAAAGGAAACCCTAAATTGTAGGTAAACAAGGAGCTAAATGAATGGAAAACAGTATTATAGGTGATATGAAGTAGGTGAATCTGACATTGTCTGGCAGTTAGTAGGAAGGCAAAGATAGCTTATCTGAACATAAAGAGCATATTATAATTAATTTTTCTAATTTTAGAGAAGACTTATTTGCCCAATCTGCCTTACTTCAGTTAATAGTCAAACTTATTTTATTTCTGAGGGGCGCCTGGGTAGCTCAGTGGGTTAAGCCTCTGCCTTTGGCTCAGGTCACGGTCTCAGAGTCCTGAGATCGAGCCCTGCATCAGACTGTCTGCTTAGCAGGGAGCCTGCTTCCCTCTCTCTCTCTGCCTACTTGTGATCTCTGTCAAATAAATAAAATCTTTTAAAAAATTTATTTTATTTCTGAATTACACTTCCACAGAATGGGAAAAGGCAACCAATGGGTATAATGGTAAGAGATAAAGATGCAGAGTTAGAAAGACAAACTGGTGAAAGTATTGGTAGTATATATAATTATTTGGGTTTTAGAAAATATAATAGGCCAAAAAATAATCTACATTAAAAAAAAACCTTCAAACTCAGTATCTATGGGAAATACAGTAGGGTAATGATTAGATAATGCCTCTGGAGCAATGATAAGGAATGAATTCTGTAAATTAGTTCCTAGATATTAATGGATTAGATACTGGGGGAGATAGTAATGAAGGGAAAGGGAAAACATGTTTATTTTCCTTCCAATCTACCCTCATGTTGAGTCTCTGTATTGCAGATCCTACTTGGGATTGTACAAAAAGGGAATATATAAATCTAAAACAGAGGATTATAAAATGGGTTTATCATAATGGTGAGCAAGAATGGAAGGTTGAGTGGGACACCTGGGTGGCTTATTCAGTTAAGCATTTGACTCAAGTCATGATCTCAGGGTCTTCAGATTGAGACCCACATGGGTCTCCCCACTCAGCAGGTGTCTACTTGAGATTCTTTGCTTTTGCCCCTCCCCCTGCTCAATGTGTATTCTCTTTTTCTCTCTCTCAAATAAATAAATCTTTAGGGGGAAAAAAAGGAAGGAAGGTTGTGAAAAAACATGGAGCTCCAATCTATTGGTGGCAGGGAAGAAGAGCTATGCCAGGGACACTACTCATTCACTAAGAATGCATACATGTTAGGTAAGCTTAATCAGTGTTTATTTTCACTTATGGTTAGCAAAACTGGTTATATGACTAAGGATAGTATGATCTGGTTATTTCCACACAATTAAAGTTTTACTAATTTAAAAAATCACATTGTACATTACCTGAAGGTTCTTTATTCAATGAAGGAAGCTGGATGGCTTTATAAATGGTTGACCCAGCCCTAGAGGTTCTACGATTTGCTTTTGGAGGTTCACTCACATGGGGTGAAGTGTACTCATAAGGTTCTTCTAGAAATATTTAGAAAATACGTTAGCTATAAGATGGATTACATTTGTAACTGATTTTGATACACAGTAAGTTAGCTGCCAATAAAACTGAAATAACTAAAAATGTTTTGAGATGATTAATTTCACTAATAAAGAAATACACATTAAGAAGGATAGTTTTAGAGATCAGAACTAAGTAAAAGAATTCACCAAGACCACCTATTATAAATTCCATTTCTATGAAATGTCCAGTGTATGGAAATTTATAGAGACAGAAATTAGATTAGCAGATTATGGCTTGGAGTGTGACGATTTCTCTTTCACACAGCGAAAATATTCTAAAATAAAAACATGATGATGAAAGTATAACTCTGTGAATGTACTAAAAACCACTGAATTACACACTGTAAATGAATGAACTGTATGGTATGTGAATTACATATTGATAAAGCTATTAAAATTAACATCTGAGGGCGCCTGGATGGCTCAGTGGGTTAAGCCTCTGCCTTCAGCTCATGTCATGATCTCAGGGACCTGGGATCGAGCCCAACATCGGGCTCTCTGCTGGGCAGGGAGCCTGCTTCCCCCTCTTTCTCCAACTGTCTCTCTGCCTACTTGTGATCTCTCTTTCTCTGTCAAATAAACAAAATCTTTAAAAAAAAATGACATCTGATTTTCTATCACAAACAATGAAGGCCAGAAGCCAGTGGGATGACATATTAAAAATGCTGAAAGCAAAAATTCACAACCAAGAATTTAATACCCAGCAAAATTATTATTCAAAAATAATAATAGATAAAACAAAAACCTTCCTAGATAAAAAAAACAACTAAGACTATTGTTGTTATATTAGGAAAAGTGTCTTAAAAGAAATGCTAAGGAAAATATTTCAGGCTGGTACAAAAATGACATCAGGTAGTAACTCAAAATCTGCATGAAAAAATAAAAAGCATTTTAAAAGTAATTATATCGGTAACTATAAATAACAACATATCTTTTCTAAACTCTTTTCTTTCATTAGCTTATTAAAAAAAAAAAAGAACACTACCTAAAACCGTACTACTGAATATGTAATAGAAAATTCAATTTTATTTCTTTATATGAGCATTGAATAACCCCAAATCTAAGTTAGGGAAACAATTTTATTTTCAATAGCATCAAAAAAGAATAAAATCGGGATGCCTGGGTGACTCAGTTGGTTAAGCTGCTGCCTTCGCCTCAGGTCATGATCCCAGGGTCCTGGGATCGAGTCCCAAATCGGGCTCCTTGCTCAGTGCGAAGCCTGCTTCTCTGTCTGCCTCTGCCTGCCACTCTGCAGGCTTGTGCACTTTCTCTCTCTCTGACAAATAAATAAATAAAATCTTAAAAAAAAAAGAATAAAATAGTAGTGAATTTAACAGAGAGGTAAGACTTGGAATGAGAGTTATAAAACACTGTAAGGGAAAATAAATCCAATATAAATGACCAAGTTCAATGTTCATAAATTAGAACTTATTTAATTGTTTGAAATATAATGACATACCACTGTATTAGTTTTAGTAGATAACTTAATAATTGATATATGTGAGTTCAAGGGTTTCCTCTGTCGCCATCTCAAACCAGAACTCTTAGAACATTCATATTTTAAGATAGCAATTCTTTTCAAATTGATAAATAAGTTCAATATAATCCCTATCAGTACTTTAGGAGCATTTTTTTTTCAGAAATTAGCAACCTGAAACTAAAATTTATATGAAATGCAAAAGACAGTATAGCCAAATGAATAACACTACAGAGACTTCATCTTTCAATTATAAAATTTACTATTAACTTTGTTATCAAAACAGTATGGTAATAGCACAGTGATAGAAAAATAGGTCTAAGGAACAGAACTAAGACTTCAGTAGTAAACTTTTTATGATTATAGCTAATTGATTTTCAACTAGTTCCCAAGGCAATTAAATGGAAACAGGATTCTCTTTTCACAAACGGTGCTCTGGCAATTGGATAGACACTTGCAAAAAGATGAACCTGGAACTTTACTTCTCATTGTATACAAAAACTAACTCAAAATAAATTACATACCTAAACGTAATAGTGATACTATAAAACTCTTAGGAAAAAAAAATAGAAAATTTTGAGATATTAAATAGGCAATGACTTTTTATTTTTTTTTTTATTTTTTTTTTTTTTTAAGATTTTATTTATTTATTTGACAGAGATCACAAGTAGACAGAGAGGCAGGCAGAGAGAGAGAGAGAGAGGGAAACAGGCTCCCTGCTGAGCAGAGAGCCCGATGCGGGACTCGATCCCAGGACCCTGAGATCATGACCTGAGCCGAAGGCAGCGGCTTAACCCACTGAGCCACCCAGGCGCCCCAGGCAATGACTTTTTAGATACAAGTTAAAAGCATGATCCATAAAAGTAAAATTAATATAATGGGCTTCATCAAAATTCAAAACTGTTGACTGTCATTAAGAAAGTTATGACAAGGGGCGCCTGGGTGGCTCAGTGGGTTAAGCCTCTGCCTTCGGCTCAGGTCATGATCTCAGGGTCCTGGGATCGAGCCCTCCATTGGGCTCTCTGCTCAGCAGTGAGCCTGCTTCCTCCTCTCTCTGCCTGCCTCTCTGCCTACTTGTGATCTCTCTCTCTGTCAAATAAATAAATAAAATCTTTAAAAAAAAAAAAGAAAGTTATGAAAAGCTGTAGACTGAAAGTATTCACAAGTCATGTATCCAATAAGAAATCACATCCAGAATGAATAAAGAACTCTAAAAATTTTAGAACTTAAAAAACAAAACTTTACAAATGGGCAATTTTAAAGACATTTCACCAAAGAAATACACAAATGGCTAATAAACACATGAAAAGATGCCCAAAATCATTTTTCAGAGAAATGTAAGTAAAAACCACAATGAAATGCCATTTCATATCCAACAGAATGTCTATAATCCAAAGGACAGATACTAGCCAGATGGCAAGGATGGGAAGAAATAAAAGCCTTCATACCTTTGGTATGTGGTAAAATGGCACAGCCCCTTTAGAAAAGAGTTTGGCAATTAAAAAAATAAACATAAGTTTACCATACAACACAGCAACTCTATTCTTAGGTATCCACCTAAGAGAAATGAAAATTTATGTCTTCACAAAGACCAACATGGGAATATTCAGAGCAATGTTCCTTATAGCCAAAAAGTGAAATGAACCCAAATGTCCATCAACCTATGAACGGATAAAGAATATGGGCTACAGCCATATAAGAGACTATTATTCAGCAGTAAAAAGGAATGAAATATGATATATGTTACTATATGGGTGAACCTCAAAACCATGCTTACCGAAGGAAACTACACAGAAAACACCATGTACTATATGATTCCATTCATGTGAAATGTCCAGAAAAAGTAAATTAATAAGAAACAAAAAGCAGATTAGTGGTTGCCTGGGACTGGAAGTGGGTACCATTAGGGATCTTGCATGAATGGTGAAATGCTCTAAAAGTGAATTAAGATGGTCACTGTGGACTTAAGTAAATTTACTAAAATCCTTGACTCATACCTTGACTCATATAATTAAGATAGGGCAAATTTTCTGATATGCAATTTAGACCCCCCTGAAGTGTTTTTTTAAAAACTGCTAATCTGTACCTCTCTGAGGGACAAATTTACCAATTAGAGTATAATGTTTATGCAATCGTTTGTGTCTTTAGCCTTACAGTATTCACTCAAAGCACACTTTTCCAGTTACTTCAAGCTGCTCATTTTTCTCTAACTCTGACAATAAGGTTATATCACTCATTAATTTTTTTTCCTTAGACTTTATTGAGATGCATTTGACATATAATGTAAGTTTGAGGTGTACAATGTGTTGGTTTGCACACTTACATATTGCAAAATAATTACCACCACCACAGCATTAGCTAATTCCTTTTTTTTGTAGTGAGACTATTTAACAATCTTCTAGCAACTTTCAAGCATATAATACAGTATTGTTAATTATAATCATCATGATGTATATTAGATCCCCAGAACTTATTCATCTTCTTCTATTCATACTCTTTGACCAACATATCCCCATTTCCCCCAACACATACCTTCTGGTAACCACCATTCTACTCTCTGTTTCTATGAGTTCAGCTTTTTTTTAGATTGCACATATAAGTGAGATCATATTGTATATGTCTTTCTCTGTCTGGCTTGTTTTACTTTAGCATAATTCCTCCAAGGCCTATCCTTGTCTTTTTTTTTTTTAATTGTATTATATTAGTCACCATACAATACCATGCTGTTGCAAATAACTAGGGTTTCCTTCTTTTTATAGCTGAATAGTATTCCATTGTATATGTAAAGTTTGATTATGTACATTATAATTTATTTTATATACAGTAATACATAATTATATATATTATAGTTCTAATATTACATGTATTATAATAAAAGTTATTTTGAGTTCTTTATAGGGTAAATTTTAGATCCCTGTGTTTTGGGGTTTGGTTCTAGAAGATTATTATAATCCTTGGGTTGTGTCCTGTTTCCTTGATTTTTCATGTTCCTTGGAGATTTGTGTTGCTGTCTTACATTTAAAGTAGCAGTCACCTCCTCCAGTCTTTACTAACTGCCCTCAGGAAGGACCTGCCTTTCATCAGCCCTGCTAGAAATCCTGAGGCTTTCTGGGACCTTGAATGCACATGCCTGCTCAATACTTACTGCTCCCTCTTGTGGCAGAGTTCTTAAGCTTGTATATTTTCTCTGGATCCTGTATCATACCAGGTCAAATGGAGACACCTTCCCTTTTGTTTTCTCTAAGGTGGCACCACAGCTCAAGTTATGGTTTTCTCTGGCCCACAGAACCTGGCTTGCTTTCTGCAAGTGCTCCCTAGATGTCCACCAAAGCTTGCTGTCCCTAGCATTCTCAGGAGCATGCACAGGGAGCTGGCTACAGAGTTGGGGAGGCGTGGGTGAGATAAGCCTGTTGCTGGGGATGCCCACAAGCCAGTTGCTGGATTCTGCAAGTGAGGCTTTCCCAGCAGCTCATGAGTAGGCTTTCTGATGGAGTCTAAGCACAGCATAAGCTACATCCCTTTAATGCTCTCTGAGAATCATATCTGCCACTCTTTCCGACTCTCATCCCACAATTTAGTACTCTAGATGCCTTTGTGGTGTCCTGCATAGCTAGAAAAGCCTGGTACTCACTCTTACTCCCTCTTTCCCTGCAAAGGGAGACATCATGGGGTGAGAAAGTCTCACTTGGTCCTAGCTGCACCACTTGGGGGAACATGTGATGCACACAAAGTCAAATTGTTCCTCTTATCCAATCCAATGTATCCAAACTCATTCTTTGCTTCAACAAAGTACTGGAACTTCTAATCTGGAAAACTGGACTTGCCTCTTGTCTATGAGTGACTGCCTGAGTCAGTGTTCTCCGGGTGCTCCCTGACTGTGACAAAGAAGTGTTGGAACCATTCATGAGCTACTAGAGTCCACAGCCAGGATGGAGATTTGTCTGCCTATTACCTGATGCACAGGTGGGCAAGGTTTTTCCAGGTCCCTTGGTGTGTAATACTAGATCCCACAACTTCTACAAATGCACTTTCATTCATGGATGGGTGCCAGATTTTTGTTGTTGAGAATGGGGGGAGGGGGAAAAACAAGGGACATCTTATGCTATTGTGATGCTAAAATCAGTTGTTATATATTTGTAGTAGTTCCTTATGTCCCAGTCTGTATTTCATCCTAGGATCTCCCAACATCATGGTTCATTGCTTTTTTTGCATGCAATTTTTTCATTGAGAAAATTATAGTATAATTAAAATATAATATAATTGAATGATGAAAAAGACAACCTAACTGTGATGCGTAATTTACTGCTAGGTGAGTCTGTTTGTTGTGTTTTTTCTTTGCCACCTTTCTGTAAGGGACTGGGTCCTGTGGGGACTATCCTTGTATTGCTACCATATTCTCTCTGTGTGTGTATGTGTGTATATTGTGCAGGAAGTCACATCATAGGACCTTCCTCTGAAAATGATTATAGATCACAAAATTGTGATCTCTGGCCCTCATGAAAAATTTTAATACGAATTTGTGGGGTTCAGGAAAGAGCACATGCATTTTGCATGGGGGGTATCAAGAATATTTGCAACTAGAGGGAACATGGCGGTAGATTGGTTTCAATAATGGCCTCAATGTATTCTTGACCACTGGTGTTCATATCCTCACATACAACTCTGGTCTTGGGTATATGACTTTAGTAAATGGAACAAAAGTAAACAGATGCAAGCAGAAACTTCAAATGTTTCTACAAGGTTTGTACAATGGGCTCGCTCACATGTTGCTCTTAGAACCTGAGGTTACAACATGGATATGCTTAAGCTAATCAGCTGGGTGATGAAAGACAAGGGGCCAAGTCACTCTTGTGTCACTTGAAAAGTTTGTTTTCTCTTAGCTCCCAAACCATCCTTCCATAGTTGCTTTGTGAAATTGGATGCAGGACTCTGATAACCACATTTTTGCTTTGCCAGGTAACTCCAAATTAGGGTTAGGCAAATAAAGCATTCTAGAGAGAGATTGCAAGTTTAGAGGAGAAACAAGGGATTTGCTTCCTTCATTTGGCTACCATTGGGCTTCCTGGGAGCTTCATGTCTCTTTTCAGTTTCTGTGAACATCATCCCAGCAATGTTTCTTTATCCTAGGAGCAGACGTTCTTTCCATGACATAAATGGTCTGTAGTTTTCTCAACATTTGCAAAACCAGTTTTATTTAAACCTCACCGGCTGAGACACTAGCAATGTCCCCTCTTCAGAAGTATGTCTGAGACCCCTCCCGAAAAATCAGAGATACTAGCACCAGCCAAGCCGCATCTTGTACTCAGAGTCGTTATCAGCCTTAGAAGTGGCAACTTCTTCGTAACATTCCTCCATGTTATCTCAGAATTCTTTTACGCTTCGTTACCCAGTTAACAACTTTATACTTAGTTAATGAGTTTTTACACTTTTGCTGTTTTTTCAGACAACTAGTGAGGTTTTTATCTCTTGATGAGCCCCAAATATATACCCCCGTTGTCCCAAACAACAGCTAGCCAATTGCCAGACATGTGAGTGAAGCCATTGACCACAAGGTGACCAAAGACGCATACGTTAGCCAGCCAAAATCAGTCTACATTCCTAACTCCCAAATCATGAACTCTAAATCCTGTGTTACTATTTTAAGGTAAATAGTTTTGGGGGTAGTTATGCAGTAAAAGAACATTAACAAATATGGAAAAAAATTTAAAAAATTAATGATTCAATAACTCAGATGGATATAAATTAATCAAACAAAACACCCACCTGTATAGTTGATGGTTAGGCAGAGAAAAGTATTTTTTCTTCCACAGTTGCTAGAGAACATGTTAATTTTAATGTCATTTTAGGAAAGCCATCTAGAAGTATCTTTTAACATTATAAAATCCTGGGATATTCTCCCAAAGAAATTCAAGCATCAATAAATATGAATGCATGTTCATGGAGACATTTACCAGTGGTAAAAAGCCAAAAAAGTCAATTCTCTTTAACAGAAGAATGATTAAATAAATAATTCTATACTGTGAAATATTATACTACTAGTAAAGGTATAAATTAAAGCCGTTTAATTTTCAGGTTTGCAAGGATTCACCTAAAATATTTCTGAATAAAAAGATGTAAAATGAGTAAAATGAAAAGTCATACCAAACAACACTATACACACACACACACACACACACACACACACACACATTATATATATATATTTTTTTTTCTTTTTTTTTTCTTTACCTTGACTGTCAAAGGGTGATAAATTGATCACTTTTGTTGGGAATTTACTCATTGAGATGTTCTTCGGAACTAAATCTTGTTGGTTTGAAAATATATTTTTGTTTTTAAACAAATTCATTCCTAAAATGAAAATGTTTAGAAATTAGAGATCCCAAATATTCATGCACTACTCTCCAAACACCATGTACTACTAGTCTTTATTTATATGTTTGTAATGTTTTCTTACCACATTTTATTGAGTAGCCACTTGCTTACTGCTCTAATTTGTATAAACCATTTGATCATTTTCTCTTCCTTGTCTTTATTCTGTGTTCATTGATAGCATCTTCTTTCTTTAGCTGAGTATACTTACTATGCAAAAACTGCACATATTTAATGCATATATATTTTGATAAGTGTAGACATAGGCATACGCCTGCAATACCGTCACCACAATCAATAAGCATACCCATCACCTCCAAAAGGCTTCTCTTGTTTTCTTTTTAGGTAGATGGTAAGAAAAGTTAGCAATTTTTCTCTATATATTTTTCTCTATATATTTATCTGTCTGTGGGCATTTAGATAGTTCCCATGTCTTGGCTATTGTAAGTAATGCTGTAATGAACACAGAAGTGCATGTATCACTTTGAAAGAGTGATTTCATTTCTTTTGAATATATACCCAGAAGTGGGATTGCTGGATCACATGGTAGTTCTCTTTCTAATTTTTGAAGGAACATCTATGTTGTTTTCCATAATAGTTGCGCCAGCTTTACAATCCCACCAATAATGTACAAGGGTTGCCCTTTCCCCACATCCTCACTAATATTGGTTATCACTTGTCTTCTTGATGATAACCATTCTAACAGGTGTGGGATGTTATCTCATTGTAGCTTTTTTTGTTGTTGTTGTTAAACATAATTGTTTAGATGATTTTTTTTT